CCCCCCCCGTTTTCTGTCAAAACAGTCATTTGTAATGCTTTCAATTGCTGCAGGTTTGTCCCAGGTCCTGGAATTCATGTACACAGCCAAGCTGAGTTTGACTCCTGACAACTTTGAGGATGTAATGGCTGTTGCCAATTTCCTGCAAATGCAAGAGATTGTAAACGCTTGCTCCATGTACCAGTCAGTGACCGATCCAGCTCCATCCCATATTACGATGGACGTTGATGAAGGTGAGTCCAGTCTTTTTATCATGATTGGAGGCCATATGGGGAAAACACTTGTATTGTTCTGATTATGAAATAGCATTTGGGGGTACCTTGACTTAAAAGTGCCCCAATGTCAAATTTATAAATTTAGCCTTTTTGAGTGAGTACTGCCATGTCTTTAACGTATCAGTATCATTACGAGCTGGAGATTGATATTCCGCGGTAGTTTCAGGAAAAGCTCCTGGAACCTATTGAAAGGCACGGCAAATGATTGACACCTCGTTGGTTACACCCTTCTCTATATGATTGGTTATTTCTTCTCAGGTGCTGTGGTTTGCCAAAAATCAATGTCGAAGATATTTCAAAGACCATTTTACTAACATGCTACTATCAGGTTTATACGGACAGTTTTAACAAACGTGACAAAAAGTGTTTTTTTTCCCCTTAAAGTTGTTAACTACCCGTTTAAAAAAAGCAGTGGCAAATGTTGCAAAAACGCTTTATTCCTTTACTTTCTCTTCTCTTTTTTCTTTGTTTTTTTTTTAATAAAGGAGAAAAATTAGTTGAAGACCAACCAAGAGAGGGCGATGACAGTTACCTGGCTGAAGCAGCAATGCAGGCAGAGCAGAGTTCTTCCACGACCACCACAGAAGATAAGAACAATGAGCTTACAGAAGGCCAGGAGCAAACAAGTCACCCTCCCATGAATGCACAGACAACAGAAGTTTCAGAGCTGAACCCTGCCAAAAGCTGCCCAGTTCGTGCGCAGCCTACCAAAAGTAGTGCGACACAAAAGGGAGCGTCTGTGAAGAACGAGGAAGAGGATGGTTACGCCGCAAAAGACGCCACATCCACTTTTCAGGACGACCCCTCTGATGTGGACTACACACCACGTAAGTTAGTGATGAGGAAAGACTAGCTCAGTGGCCTGCAAATCAGAGTGAATGCCCAGGGCGAGTGCCTGATTCTGGGGCCCATTTTTGTCAACATTAACCCCTTGATGTTGAGTGAAGGGGGCGTGGAAGGAAGATTCGAAAACTTACTGTACATATACCGGTGTGTGTGTGTGTGTGTGTGTGTGTGTGCTTAAATTGCTGTGGTTGCCCCCTCCTCATGTGCATGCCCCTGTGCTAGCTTTATCACTTTTGTGTTTTTGAACACATAGGAACATTCACATCCCCACGTGAT